GCAGGATTCTCAATATTGTCTAAATGGCACCTGAATTTGTGTCATCAAACTTGTACACGACAGGAACAAATTGCTGTTTATCCCACTGTATACTAAAATCATCCGCTAAAGCTCTTTTGCTTTCATTTCTCAATGTATTTGCAACCACAACTTCGGCTTCGTCCTTATCAGCACCTTTATTTTCAGAAATAGCTTCAATATACCCATAAATAATATTAACAATCTCTTCCTTTTCTGAATTATGGCTTTCACCGCATCGTTTCCACTTTCTACAAAAGGCTCTTCATTGGAATCCAAGCATGCCAGTATATGATCATATTCTTTTTGCGTTAGTCCATAGAAACCACCTGTATCTTATGAGCGCCTTCTTTTTCTCGAATCAGAAATTTTCTTGAAATTTCACAATACAGGTGCACTGTAACGGTAACAGCAGAATACTGCGTAGATCGTGCTAGCGCGATATTTGCGGTATAAGACGCATGCTAAAAATAGGGAAATTGAATCAATCCCTACCTTCCGCAGATCCAGGTGTTTCCTGGGCCGGGAAACTAGTACCTGCTAATGGTCCCTTGCCTAGGGTCATGGATGAGGACCACAACGGCATCCAGGGCGAAGAATAAGGTCTTCACAACGGTCTGGAGGGCGAAGGTGACAGCCCCATGATTTTCGGGCTTGTATAAAATCGAACCTGGAAATCGACAGCTGGTTTTTTAGTATTTGTATTAAGCGGAAATCATGTAGGTCAGAAATTAGAACGGTCAATACATAACAGTACCCGGTGCAGTGGTAACCACTTACACAGCGTGTACACAGCGGTGTAGAAAGCCAAGGGAATGACTACTACACTATTTTTCCCAGGCTTATCAATATGGCTTAGGAATTAAACGATGGCCCCTGGTACGGGCGCCTTATAAATGAGGCAGGGGTGCGAAGAATCTCCCGCTTGGCCAAATTTAATAACTAAAAAAGCTGTGGAATAGGCACATGGAATGTGCGGAGTTTATAAATGAACCCGGAAAAACTTTGCCATAAATTAAATGAGAAGACTGCAAATATCACTTCTTTTCTGAGAAGGCAGTAATTCATAGGCCTGCAAAAAAATATTTATTGAAAGTTGTTTGAAATTTGATAACTGACTTTTATGTACTTTTTTGCGTTGATTTCAAAAATGCAAACCATTTTTGTTGATCACGTCAGGTTTTTTCACAAACTAGGGAGTCTGTTTGGGTATAATAACAAAATTAAGCAATTTTTCACCTTTTTCCAACGTTATCAAATTAAGTTTATTTATTAATAATGTCTACTAAACTAATTTCCATTACAATTATATTTCTCTTTAAGTTCCTAAGTCCTTATAATAACGCTTTCGCTTTCTGTCAAAGATTCTTTTATTGCTTTTCTGGCTGTGGACTCTTTTCATAATCCAGCAGTATTTGCTTACGTTCTATTTCCTTGGTATGTTTTTTTTTCACTTCTTTGATGCCTTGGTGAAATCTTTCTCTTTACAGACTTCGCCAAGGTTTGCCGAGAAGTATCAAGATGTGAGTGGGGAAAGTGAAGTTTAATGCTCATGTTACAGAGCAGCTTCTTAAAGTTGTCAATCATGTCTGCGACGATTGTTTTCTAGTTTGGATCAAGTCTAGTTTAGCCAATGCCAACTAACTTAAAAGATGTACTTGCTGCCTGTTCATTTGTTTCCATTTTGTCTACAAAGTTGGGATCTGTCATTAGTTTTTTAATGACAGATTTCTTTCTTTAGCTTTGGCGCGAATAAACCAGGAAACTGTTCACAAAGATATCTAAAACACTCCCCTTCTTTGGTCAATGCCTTGACAAATTGTTTTATCAGCCTCAACTTATGTGAAGGGGTGGAAGTGATCTGTCATTAGTTTTTTAATGATAGATCACTCCCTTCTTTAGTCAATGCCTTGACAAATTGTTTTGTCAGCTTCAACTTAATCTGAAGTGGTGGAAATAACACCTTTTTGGGATCCACAACGCTCCTCTCCTCAACATTATAACGACTACTTGTAAGATTTCTCAAGGGCCAAACTTTTTTATGTGGTGTTGCTTTTTGTCTTGACTGTCCCATTCACAGAGAAACCAAGGGAACTTTGTATAGGAACTCTATTGACCAAGCAGCATTGAAATCACTTTTAAATCAGCACATAGTCTCCATTTGTGGTGTAAATAGCACAGTTACTTAAAACCAGTTTAAGGTTTCGTATTATTCTTTCCAGTAAACCGAGTCTCTAACTGAATAGAAGCATACTTATTGGAAAGTACAGTATTTTTAAGATCGATCCAAAAGTCTTCTCGAGCATATTCATTTAAATTTCATCTCGATCCGACAATACTTCTAGCCGATTGTTGATCCAATGGCTGGTGATCATCATGTATATCATCCAAAGAATCTGGAGGAGGAGGTATGGCACTTTAGGCCCATGAGGAGCAGGGCGAATGGCTGATTAAATGTTAGGGTAAGAAATATCCTTTTTGTTCTTCAAATTAAAACCTCGTACGTTGCAGGAACAAAAATAGCAGTCATCACTATGATTTTGGGCAGGGTAAGAACTGCTTACCTTGAAACCATTACCTAAGTTCTTCAACACATACTAAACAAACTTTATGTGGGGATCCAAGGCTTGTCTTGATCGCCTAACTTTATACCAAAATAAGCAAAATATACTTTTTGAACGAAATCGGAAAAGTTTCTTTGTTGATGTTTAACGGTATAGTTACCGCAAATGTAACAGAAGCATTCTGGTGAGTTTAAACATCCTCTGGTAGCCATTGTGCCTGTGTATAGATAGCATCAATAACTTCACAATACAAAAAAACAGTCACTACTTCAAAGCACTAATAAAAACAACACCAAGCGAAGAGCTGCTGTGAACTGTAAGACATTTCCAAAGGCTCACTGCTTGTTAATGGTGGAGAAAGGGACAGCGCGACAGATAGTCACTGACACGAAATAGGGCGCAGTGAGTCAGCAAGTGGATGGGTAGGGGGTACAGTAAGAACAAATGCTGACTTGAAAATATTGCTGGTTTCTCCTAATTATTCTTTATTATGATCAATTTGTGAATAACTGTACAGTGATGAAAGTTTTTTCACTATTTTTCTCGAAATCAGCGTTAAAAACAGTATGAAAATCACTTATTGAATTTCAAACACAGTCTTAAAGGAGGTTAGCAATGTATCAGGCCGATATGCCAGGTATCTGTACGGGTAATAATTTTATTCAGTTGAACGCAATACACAGAAATATAAATTTAATACAAGTGTATGCACCGACAGCGGAAAGTGAACTAGAAGAACTTGAAAAGTTCTACGCCGATGTAAAGACTGTTACTGACCAACTCAAGACTAGAGATCTTACCATTCTGATGGGTGACCTTAATGCTAAGATAGGAAAAGGCAGACAAAGTAACATTATTGGATGTTATGGACTGGGCGATAGAAATGAAAGAGGAGATTATTTCGCAGATTTTTGCAAAGAACATAACCTATGTATAATGAACACCTTTTTCAAACTACCTAAACGGAGATTATATACATGGAAATCTCCAGCAGACACTCCCCGTAATATCGTCAGAAACCAAATTGACTACATAACTATCAGTGAGCGTTACAGAAATGCAGTAAAGTCTGTAAAAACTTTTCCTGGTGCCGATGTTCCATCTGATCACAATCTGTTGTTAGCCGAAATAAAATTAAAACTTAAACGGATAAAACAACAACGATCCTATAACAAACTGGATATGGATTTTATTAGAAACAATAGTCAGATGATTGCAAACAATTTAGAGAGCAATTTTGAGAATTATGAACAACAAGAATCCATCGAGGGTCATTGGAAACAAATCAAAACGATTATAAGCAACTCAACTCCAAACTTAAAAGAGAGCAGTCAAAAAAAGCAACAGTGGATGAACGATGAGATTTTGAATTTGATGGAAAAAAGACGCAATTTTAAGAACCAAAACGTCGAAATGTATAAAGTAATTAATAAAGAGATAAGGACTAAAATAAGAGCTGCAAAACAAACATACTTCGAAAACAAATGTTTAGAAATTGAAGAGTTACAGGGAAAACATGATTCATTTAATATGTATAAAAAAATAAAAGAACTGACAGGTCAGAACAAAAAACAGGCAAATAACATCGTTGATAGAGACGGAAAACTGATTATCACTAATTTGCATAAAATAGACAGATGGAAAGAGTATATTGAGGAACTGTTTAGTGATGAAAGGCCCGAGCTTGAAATTAACGAAGTAGTTACAGGACCTGACATAACTATGGACGAAATTGAACAAGCAATACGATTAGCAAAGACCCGAAAAGCGACGGGACCAGATGAAATACCGAGTGAAATAATAAAGCTCTTCGAAAGTTCAGGTAAAATATCTCTCCTTCATCTGTTTAATAAAATTTATGAAACTGGCTATATACCAACGGATTGGCGGCTGTCGACTTTTGTGACGATACCTAAAAAAGCAAATGCAAAAAGATGTAGTGACTACCGAACCATCAGCTTGATGAGTCATGTTTTAAAGATATTTCTACGAATTTTGCACTCTAGGATGTACCAAAAAATAGAACAACAACTTGGTGACACACAGTTTGGATTCCGCAATAACCTTGGAACAAGAGAAGCACTATTTAGTATTCAGGTTATGGTACAGAGATGCAGAGATGTCGGACATCCAGTTTATATGTGTTTTATTGACTTTGAGAAGGCCTTTGATCGAGTAAAACATACTGAAATGATAGCCATTCTTCAGCAGGTAGGTATTGATGATAAAGACCTACGCATTATTAAAAATCTTTACTGGCATCAACGTGCAAACATCAGGATTGGCCGGGACACTTCTGAAGAGCTTCAAATACGAAGAGGAGTAAGGCAGGGCTGCATTTTGTCCCCGCTACTATTTAACATCTATTCTGAGTTCGTTTTCAATAAAGCAGTGGATAATGTTCAATGTGGTATAAAAATGAATGGCGTCAATATTAATAATTTGAGATATGCGGATGACACAGTGTTAATTGCAAGCAATTACGAAGAACTTCAACATCTTAATTAATAGGATTACCACAACGTGTGATGAATATGGCCTTAAGCTAAACACCGCAAAGACAAAGGTGATGGTCGTCAGTAAAACGCCAATACAACCGGAAGTGGTAACAGCTTATGGTGAACAACTGGAGAGAACTAACAATATCAAATTCCACTAGGAAACTAAGTTTCTGTAGCTGGCTGTATACCATATATCACAAAAAATTGTTTAAAAATCCTTTATAAAAGGTATATAAAAAATGCCCCAAACGGGCTATCACAAACACATTGCAAAACGTTTTCGGATTGATAAATCCATCATCAGTGCAAACCTGAAAGTATATAACCACTTTAATTAAAAAGAACGTTAAATTAAAATGTTGACAAAGGTTAGAGCAAAATGTGGTTAATACTTACGGTTGTACATGCTAGTAGCCACCAAAATATATGGGTCAAAACCCTTTAAATGTTTTAAATTTGTAGTTGTTTTACATTATTAATAGTTATAATTTGTGATGTTTAAGTTACCGTTGGATAGGTAACATGGCGGCGTATGACTCTACATAAGTAAAATGGTCCTGAGACGAAGTGTCTACGAGGACCTGTTGATAACAACTGATCAAAATGACATTGTTGACATGTTAGGACGGATGTTGTGTCAGAGCAGTCAGTGTAACTTACGGTAGTTGTCTAAAAATGACAGATGTCAGCCTTATTTAAAATTGAAAAAAGTTAAAATTATAATAATGTAACAGTATCAACCATCAATATTGTAATCTGTATTGTAAATTAATCAAATAGCTATATTTGAAACATTGAAAATTGGTTTTTTAAAAATTAATGTGGGTCAACTGGAATTTATGAAATTTTGTAGGATTGATAGGCAACCAACTATACATGTGTAAGGATCTATTTATTTTAAGCTAAAGATTTTGTCAAAAGGCCCTGTATGTTGTGAGACATTTGGTACCTAGAAAATGGTAAAAAGGCACATGTGGGAAGATGGGTCCTAAAAGATTTATTATTGAGTATTGATGTAGTAGGTGGAGGTGTGTTTAGATATGTTGTTGAGCTGAAATGTAAATATGATAAGAATGTGATTGTAATGTGGTGTTCGTGTAGTACTCAACTTAAAACTTAAGTATGGAAGGCCCTCTATGTCAAAAAACCACATTTGGTACCTAGTAAAGATAAATAAAAAATTTTTAAGTTATAAGTACATGAACATGAATTACTGGTTATGTGTGTAAAGTAAAGATGGTAGGTTGTTTATGTGTGTGGGCAAGTATGCCAGACTAACAGAAAATTGATGGCTGAAAGATGGTTAGGTGTGATATTGTTCCTACATTGCTCAAGTTATAACTCAAGAAAACAAAAGGCCCTATATGTTAAAAGGAACATTTGGTGCCTAAGAAATATAAAAGTAAAAAGGGATGAGTTATAAGTTAGAGTGTAGGTAGGTGTAAAGTTAATAGGCTTATGGAGTGTATTGTGACAATATGTGAAACTGTAAGAGTAGTTGTGTTTAAGGTGGATCTATCAAGTTTACTAAAGATGTGTGATGTTTAAATGTTATTGTGAAGATGAAGGGGAAAACTACAAAAGACTGAAGACCCCAGAGACCCGAAAACCAAACCCTGAGGGAAATTGGATGAGTAAAAAGAAGTTGTAAATGAAAATGAAAAACGCAGTATGAAAAGGTGAAGATATGTGGTTGAGTGGGTGATGGTGTATATTAATGAAAAATTGTTTTTGGAGAGGAAGTGGAATGATCTGCTCTGAATTTATTTTGTTGAGAAGGAGCATGGAGAATATTGGGTATTAGGTCAGATTTGACGTTTGGATGCCTAGACAGAAGTGAGGAAAGAAGGGGAGTTGGATATATTGAACAAAGTTTGAGAGGGCTAAGGATGATTAGTAGGTGATAAGAGAAGGATGAGAATTTAAATACTAATGAAGAAGTAAAGTTTGAAAATGAGTTATGAGAATAATAAATATCACTTACCTTGTTTATAATCTAAATGAGAACTGGGACATGGGCAAAGAAATTAGAATACGGATAGAGAAGGCCAGAGCTGCATTCTTTAAGATGAAGAAACTTTTATGTGAAAACAATATTACTTTAAATCTGAAAATTAGATTAGTGAAATGTTATGTGTTCTCTACTCTTTTGTATGGTGTCAAAGGTTGAACTTTGACGGATACACTTTTCAAAAAACTAGAAGTCTTTGAAATCTAGGTATATCGGAGAATTCTACGAATAAGTTGGGTGGATAGAGTTCGTAACGAAGTTGTTTTGCATCGGATGGAAAAAGTTACGGAAGTCGTCAAAACAGTTAAAAATCACAAACTTAAATATTTTGGCCATGTTATGAGCCACCCAGAGAGATATAATATACTACATTTAATAATACAAGGCAAGGTAGACGGAAGAAGGGCACCAGGTCGAAGAGAAAAACGTCATGGCTTAGAAACCTGAGAGATTGGTTTAACAGATTTTCTGCCTCTCTTTTCCGAGCTGCCGTCAACAAAATATCTATAGCCAATTTGATAGCCAATTAAACTTGAGAGGTCGCTGGTTAAAATTATATCAGATAAATAATTATAACGAAAATGCCAAATTTGTTTATACCCAAAAATTAGCGAAAATAGCAACTATAAATTGTAAATAAGTTATGAAATCAACTGGTTTACTCATTATTGTTGTTTTGTACAAAGAACAGACTTACCCTTTGAAGATATTGATGCCGTCTTAACAGGAATGAGGAGTTGGTCGTGATACCGACGCTAGCGTCGCCGCCGAGGCTCAGCACGAGAACCGTCCGAAACTAGATCCGTGTCGATCGTTGTCTAATTCACGAAGAGATACGGTACTGGCCTGTAACGTGAGGTTTTTAACTCCTCAGTGGCAGGTGCACTCTACGAGCGCTTTGGATGTAACTGTTTACGTGGTGCTTTACCACCAGTGGATTTTGTGTATTTGCTTTGAATACAAGATAAGCCAAATTCTCGCGTATTAACAACATCATAAATGAGATATGTCAGTTTAAGTTTTACGAGACAACAGGAAACAATATATTTCAAAAAAGTCTATAAAATACAGCATCAAATTAGATCACATTACAGTACCGTAACAGAAAAAATATTAACTGTAAAATTATGAAATGAATTCGCACATACTTTCCCAAACAGTATATATATATTAATATATATATATATATATATATATATATATATTTATATATATATATATATATATATTATATATTTATATATATTATAGTATATATATTATATATATATATATATATATATATATATATATATATATATATATATCACTTGTAAAGAAAGGGGTATATATAACGAGGACTGACAGACATGCAACATGTAAATTTTATTAAATTCTATAAAAATAATAAATAAATACTAATAGTACATTGTTTACCGGGTAGGAAAAGCTTAACATTCCTGGACGACTGTGAAGATTGCTAAGTCGAGGCGCAAGCGAGACTTAGCAACACAGAGTCCAGGAATGTGGCTTTTCCTACGAGGTAAACATACTATTTTTCCGCAAATCGTTTAAATTCGACAGATATTGATTGATTAAAAAAAACGCGATAATTTTATTCCCAAATAAATGGTGCTTTGAAATTCCTAATAAAATTACTTGGGTTACTATGGAAACGTATTGAGGTTGAATTGTCAAACTTGACGCTTATAAATTTAATTGCTGGTGTTCTCGAAAGTAAAATGATAAGTGATGATGAAATTTCCATTCCTGGGACTCCTCCAGAGCTGGTTGAGGCAGTGAATACTGCTTCATTAGAATTATTGCCAAAGAAATCAAGAGAAAAGTACGAAAATGCATACAGACGTTTTATGGATTATCGCATGAGTAAAAATACGAGTTCTTTCTCAGAAAATGTTGTAATGGCATACTTCCTAGACCTTTGTTTAAAGATGAAATCTTCAACATTATGGGCCAATTATTCAATGCTGAAGTCAACCCTTGCACTTAAACACAATGTAGATATATCTACATACTCAAAACTTCGTTCTTTATTGAAACGGCAAGCTCAAGGTTATAGGGCAAAGAAATCTAAGATTTTAACGAAGGAAGAAATTGAAAAATTTATCCAGGAAGCTCCAGATAAAGAAAATTTAATGATTAAGGTAATTTACAAGGTTTTAATTTCTATTTAGATTATAGCTTTATTTATTTTTTAGGTGGCTGTAATATTTGGTATTTCTGGGGCCTGTAGAATGGATGAGTTAGTCCGAATGACTGTACACGATATAGAAGACTTAGAATCTAAGCTTTTAATCAGCATACCTGATTCGAAAACCAACAAACCAAGATCATTTGTAATTAATCAGATCTACTTGAATGTTTATCGAAAGTATGTTTCGTTAAGACCAGAAAATATGAACAGTGACCGATTTTTCTTTAAATATCAAAGCGGAAAGGGTTGTAGACAAGTGGTAGGAATTCATCAATTTAGAAAAATGCCCAAAATAATTGCTACTTATTTGAACTTGGTAAATCCGACAGAATATACTGGTCACTGCTTTCGTCGGTCTTCTGCAACAATATTGGTTGACTCTGGTGCCGACATAACTAGTTTAAAGAGGCATGGCGGATGGAAGTCATCAAACGTTGCTGAAGGATATATCGAAGAATCGCTTAACAATAAGGTTGAGGTGGCAAATAAAATTTTCACAGTACAAAATATTCAACAAAATGACACTTCCACCCTGCATGTTGTCCAAAATGTTTCTCATAGTTCTAAGAGTGTTCCTCCAATGTTCAATAATTGTACTAACTGTCAAATTACTGTAAATATAACAAATTGATCTTAAAAATGTATTCAGCAATGACTTGATGTTTTCAAAATATAAATTAATTCCTTATAAGCAATGTGTTTTCTATCATTTATGTAGAACACTAACAACTGTACGGAAATATCATTTCCTTACAGTAAGGAAGTCCTGACTTTTTCTTCAAGAAATTTTGACAGGAATGTCAAAATTTCCTGGCGATTTGCGGAAAAATTACTTTATTCAATTTTTAACACAGTATTTATATATTTAAAATACAGAAAATATTGTATGAAGCTTTGCGCTAGTCTACAGTACCGCCTACTGTATCACTTTTTTGTAATGGTTGACTTAACAAATTCTGATGCTGATCTAATAATAAGTTAAAAGCTCTAGACTCTTATATCAACTAAAATCAAGATAATGTTTATTAAACGTTTAGGTAAAACGTAAAATACGACGTATATGAGTCTCGAGCACAATACAAAGTTTCCGTGCAAATAATTCTAAAAAGTTAGAAGTTATGCTTCTGTTAAAGTTTAGGAGAAATATAGTTTGGCCGAAAGTTTAATGTATCTTGAGCTAGGCAAACAACTTTCAAGTAATTCCACCAACTTCTTGTAACCTGTTAAAGTTATTTCATATACTACCAATTTAACTAATATGAATTATAATGAGAGATTAATGAGTAAAGGGGAATATTTGTTGTGCATGCTAAAGTGTAACATAAGAAGACGTAGAAGTATTCATTTTTACTTTCACCTAAGGTTTGGTACAAATTAAACTGTAAACCTACCCTTCCAACATATTTATGTGTTCTGTATTGTGTAATATATAAGAAACTTTTGAAAATTAAAGTTTCTCCACATTCTCTATCATGTAAATGAAACGCTGAAATTTATGCTGAATTTTCACCGAAAGTTATTTAATAACTTAGAAGAGGTCTTAAAATTAAAGTTACTTTTTGAAACAAAGCGTCTATACTTTTTTTTTATTTACAATTAAGGCGCATCAACCTATAAGTGGTTAATAGTGCCGCTTGGTAATACAATGTTTTTTTTTACATTTTTTTAACATAGATTAGACATAGATATACACAGAGTTTTACATATATAAATCTGAGTTAAAGTAGATTGGTTAATAGAATAATTACACATTTATTTGTCTACACACTGATGTTTAAATTTGGTTGTATGTTCCTATTGATTTTAAAAAACTTAAAACATACGAATACACACAGTTTTTTTGTAGACACTCGCGTAGCGTTGTCGGTATGTTACACTTTTGCCTCTCATTTGGATATGCAGGGCGTTCGATTAAACAATGTTGGACACTTCAAACTGTTGAAACACTTACCGCGCATTGGAGGAACACTTCCAGTTGTAATGTTCCTAATCTCAGTCTGTTTATTATAATTCGGTCTTTCCTGTTGCTACACATATTCTTCCATCTTGTAACATTTGTTTTTATGTCTCGTAGTTTTTGTTAAGATTTACTTCGTTCTTGAAGCCACCGTTCTTTCAATGTCGAGTTAATCCAGTGATGAAAATATTTCTTATAAGTAGGTTCTATTAAGTCTTCGTTGTTAATTGAAGATTTGGCGGCAGCATCTACTTTTTCATTACCTTATATACCTGTATGTGATAGAATCCACATACATTTTACAATCGCATTATTTAACTGAAGTTGGTACAAACGGTTCTTAATCAATCGCAACAATTGATGAGTTGGGTAAATGGTGTCTAAGCTACTCATGGAACTTAAGGAATCTGTTCTTATTAGGCACCTGTCTAAGTTGGCGTTCAGTGCATATTATAATGCTTTATAGATTGCAAATAGTTCTCCTGTATATTTGTGCTAAAATTTGAGATTTTGTATGAAGCAGTGTAGTCGTTGTGTATGAGGCTAAATCCCACTTCTTTTTCTGATTTGAATGCATTAGTATAAATATGTTGGTATTTTTGGTACTTATCAATCTTACTGTAAAATTGTTTAACCATAGAGGAAGCATTAAATTGATTACTAGTCTTTGCTAAACTCAAGTCTAAGAAGGGTTTTATGACCATCAATGAAGAGCGGTTAAAAGGGTGGTTTGGTATATTTTAGGGAAGACAATATTACTGCTGGTCATGTATCTATTAAGTCTTTTATAAAAGGGGCGTTTAGATCTTTAGATATTGTGTGGAAACGAGAAGCACAGACATTGTTTCTGACGGGATTTTCACTATTTGCTAAAACGTTTGCAGCATATGCTAGGGTAAGATATTGTCTTCTTAATTCCAGAGGCACTTCTTCTACTAAACATAGTAAGATTTCTGTAGGTGTGGTAAAAAAAGCTCCTATTCTTACACCAGCATTTTGGATTTTTTGCAACTGTTTCAAAAGTGACTGACTGGTAGACCCATACACTATTGAA